CTGCTTTAGTGGGACGTGAGATGTTAGCTGGTGCTGATGGTCTTGTGGGCCTAACGTCCCACACCCCTGGTTTAGGGAGACGGTCCAAGAGTTGGGTTTGGATTGGAGCCTGTTCCCTTTCAACTCTAGTTTTCCTTGGGCGGCTGTAGAGGTGTTAATCTGGAAGTATCCTACGGTCCTTTGCTCTCAGTATTGGAAGAGACCTTAGAACAGTGTTTCCTAAAGTGGGTGATACTGGCCCCTAGGGAGCACTAGAATGACCCAGGGGGCCTGCAAAAGCAGATGCCTACACTTTATCCTGGATTATGGGCTATATATAGTACAAATGTTTCTAATCAGGGCGGGAGGTAGTGGAGGCTGAGAAAATTTTTTTTTCTGAGAAGGAGCAGTAGGCCAAATAAATTTGGGGCTCTATGCCTAGGGCAGTGGTTCTCCACCTTCCTCATGCCGCGACCCTTCCATACAGTTCCTTATGTTGGGGTGACCCCCCAACCATAACATTATTTTCGTTGCTACTTCATCACTGTCATTTTGCTACTGTTATGAATCGGGTGACCCCTGTGAAAAGGTCACTCAATCCCCAACAGGGTCGAGACCCACAGGTTGAGAACCGCTGCCTTAGGGTAATCCAGTGTTTCCAGCTTCTCCAACACAGGGAAACAGGAAACCTGCCGTCTCGCCACAGCAGCTGTCACTGCACTTGTATACAGATGGCTAGTTTACCACTGCTATGGAACTGCCAGTCCACTGTCAGAACACTTTGTTGGCTTTGTATGGGAATCTGCCATGCATAGAGAAGAGCACACAGCCTATCTGTACACAGCCCAGTGCACGTTCTCCAAGGAGCAAGGCCGTGTGAGCAGCATGCAGACCCAGAAATCGAACATTGCCAGCACCCCGGAAGCCCCTTGTACCTCCTACGGGTCACTCCCCCTCACTGTGTAAAAGAGAAGGACCGCCTTCGTTTGCTTGCTTACTTTTCATACCTAGCACTGCCACTGTGGGTCAGAGCACCGACTTGCAATCAGGGAGAAAAGGATTAGTGATCCCCAGAGCTACGCCAATGTATTTGCTCCGAGTCAGGAGACACCTGGGGGAGCGTCGGTGCATTGGCAGAAGAGTAAAAAGAGATTCAAGGGCAGTAGTGTCCATTTGGGGAGTCTGGGACACTGAAGGGCGGGAAGGGAAAGGCAGGCCGAGGCTGCCTGCATTGTTCCAGCCTGCCAGGGGCTCTCCCTGGTTAGCAGGGATATCAGGGGAGGAGGCAGGTGGGGGCGGGGGCATCCAGTTGGGGACCTTACAAGGAGCCACAGGGGTGCCTTCACAGATGTTTGGAATAGGAAGCCCTACAGCAAGTACCCGAATGAGGTATAAATGCTTGGTTTGGAACACTTTGAAGAAGGCAGCATCAACCATATCCCCCTTCGCAG